CCTTCATACAAGTTGCGAATGCGTAACACCATTTGACATGACAAACGTAGCACCAGTGATTTATTAGCAAGTGCTACCAAGCTCTGTACAACGCACCGATTCTCTCTGACCGACGGTAAGCCAATCCGGTTTCATTAAGGCTATATTGAGCCGGTCAGGCAACGTTGATATAAACAAGCGCAGATAACCATGTAAAAATCTAACCCAGATCATCAAGCTAAATAACTTAATACACATGTGTATAACGCGAGTCCCTTTGAGTCTGGCATGGCTATCTGGCGTTCAGAAAAAGGTCTACTAGTGTTAACTGCGAAACATGTGTTAAATCTCGAGTCAGGTACACGGTCAGCCGCGTGAAATCCAGCTCAGAAGACAAGATCGACCAGCGTCTCTCAAACCAGTCCTCAATGGCTTCATTTCTTACTGACAAACCAACATTTGCACTCCTCGAGCCTTTTACCATCTAATAGAATGAAACAAAGGAGGGCAAAATTTGAGTGAAGGATTCTTTGCAGTAAATCTCGTCAGACCCAAACTTTACATGACGATGACTACATAATAACTGTGCCGGATAGAGCTACGTATTGAATGTATCCAAGAAAGAACTTATGGCGCATTTACCTTTCGAAGGTGATAGTGTGGCTGATACCCTGTCCAAAGGCCTGAAAAATGCTATGGAAATGCTGTTTAACGGCTCGTCTACGCATAGTATACTACAGCAAAACTTTATTCGCAAAACGCTTGGAAGACAGACTGCCTCCGCTGACTCAATCAATGCTCGTTTCTCATTAGCCATGCTACTGTGGTGCACGATACGTGGGTCGTACTACGAGGCATTTATCTCATGGGATTCGTGAAAACATTCCGAAGTGGATGTCCAGAGGCCAATCAACGACTTCTAATAGCTTCATCTTGTCGTGCCCCTTAGAATGCTGTCACGCAAGCTCGGAAAATGACTTCAAGATCATCTACTCCATACCTGAGCGGTTCTCATGCGGATTCCGGAAACCTCCTATCCATCGCAGAAGCTATCTAGATCTGTCGCCTCAAGTCGGAGTTGTGCATACAGAAACAACCTGGAGGCCTTTTACTTCTGCCTTGGCCACATACGACTTACGACCCTTTGGTCTGTGTTCCAGTTAGTTTTCGTTTAAGTTGTTATCTTTGTATGTAATCTGCTGCCTTAACTGACCGCCTGAGTTGTTGATTTGTTTCCCTTAGAGTAAACTTTCTTTTCAGTACGTAGCCCTATCCGGCACATTTAGTAAGCAATCGTCATCCTGTAAAGTTTGAGTCCGACGAGCTTTACAGCAAAGAATTCTTCGCTCAGAATATGCCTTCTTTTGATTGATTCTTTTAAATGGGAAATTTTGGATTGCTAAAGTTTAGCATTCGCAGTGATTCGACCAACCTTTTACCAGCCTACATCTGGTAACTGGAACAAAGCTCTCCCAGGTGAACGACGATTGGACATACATGACGTGTGTCCAAGCCAGCGCAAATAGTTCAATAATGTTTGCTGCTCAAAGGAACTAGCCCGACCATTTCCATCTAGTGTTCCTACGCGCATATCATCGTTGCAGGCATCTTGGTGCCAGTTCACATCGGAAATGCTCCGAAGGCAGAGATGAAGAGAGTTAAAGGTGTCTCCGATCCTCCGATTGAAGGGGTCGAAGCTCATTCCCTTGGGGTAACACAAACCGCAATGTGGCCTTGTGTGTGGAGTCAACAGTCGAGGAAACGCCTATGTGGGCGACACCTATGTCGCTTGATCTATCATACAGTTGCTGCTTGTGCAAAAAGTGAATCAAATTCGGCTGCCACGCACTCATCCTTGCTAATGATAAGATAGATGGCTTGATGAGCCAGGCGCAATCGCTCGTGATGAGGTGGGAGGTGTTCAGTAAGTATTAGGTGGTCGTGCAACGGCACTTTAAATTCTGAAGTTGTAAAGCTCATGTCAAATAGTGGAACCGCTCCATTGTAAACCTCATCTGGACTAGCTATTCCTGCCAAACAACAGGGTGATATCGCTTGCATAATCCAGGTCAAATAATTTTCCACTAGACAAATGTTTACTGACCAAGAAGTGAGATTTTGCAGAACAGAAATGAAGTTGAACAAAAATGAGGAAATGGGACAACCCTGGTGCAGGCTACAGCTTGTGGGAAAGACATTTGGCGATTCTCCATATTCGCTCACTCGTCTCATAGTGTTCGGGTGTAGGGCACGCAGAATGTTCACACTATTTATAGGAACCCATTCCAGGGCAAGGATGCTGAAGGGAGTGATGCGATTGACCAATCCAAATGCACTCTTCAACTCAAGCAGCGCGTCCTTTGTCCGTCTGTGGCAAATGTAATGCGGATCTGGCTCCTGTTACAAACTGAAAGTATAACCTACCCGGCCTCGTCCGGGACAGAAACCTGCTTGCTCTTCTCTTATCAAGGATACAATTTCCACAGTCAATCACCATACAAGAATTGAGGGCAGCAACTTTGTTACTGCTGTGGTTAACTGAAACATTGTTGTTCACACAAACTGTGTGAGTATCATAATTATACACTGCGAATAGTCAAATCACCCCAGTTGATTGTGCTGGTCTCTTTATTCCTTGCCTGTCTGAATAGGTGTGACAATGCTTTTCAGCAAAGCTCATCATCTAGACCGGAGCGTAAAAGGATTGAGGTCTATGATCCTGTTTCGAACAACAATTTAAATGTATCCACTAAACCAACTGACCATAGTTTAAAATCTTCCACTTGGAGACGGCAATTTCCCATAACGAGAGTTCAATCGAACTACTGCCGAAAATTCTCCGTTCAAAGAGACAGACGGCTATTTTAAGTGAAACTTAGTGTACTGATGTTGTTTCTATCCCAATGATGCACAAGTTCCTAGGATCATTCGTACGCATCAGCATAAAGAGTCTGGGGAACATTACCACCGCATTTGACCCCCTGCTCAGCGTTTTTAGTTTATAAGGTTTATTAGCCAATATGTTACCCATATAATAGTTCGCGCTTATGGTGTATCAGATCGTATTGCGCTGTGTGACCACACGGATTTCTCTGTTAATCAACCAATACGCAAGCATTTCGGTCTTCCAGCAGCTAGTATTATGACTGACAGTGCGACAACAAGCGAACAGTGTCGTGCTTGGCAGCTGAGATACTAACTCAACTGGAATCGATACCACTGGAATATGAAATTGCAATGAACGGAGATTTTGGTAGCCGTATGCGTCAGGTATTGTTCACTTAGTGCCAATAAAGATAACTCGAAATTCTATGGAATTGTCAGAGGGCGAAACCAGTTGAAAAATAGATTTCCGCCCTTACTTCCGTGGCAATGTGAGAGCGACAGATAAGTAATCGGAATTAAAACTACTGACTCCCAGAGGCGTCCAAGGCATAGCGGAGGGGATCGGATCCGCAGGGCTGATCTGGATTTAACTGATCACTTGACATCAATCTAGTGACCTGAAGATAATACATTTCTACCGATCGAGGATACGGGTGGCATATGTGAACGCGCAACCTGAGATTGGCATGCTTGCTGCCACATCTAGCTTTGGACACTCGTTGGCACAAGATTCTTCATTTTGGAAACCATGGTCCTTTCGCTTTTGTCTATGAAGCCAGCTTCACAGTTATACACACAATAGAAGTCGACCCAGATATGCTGGGTTGCTTTCATTGGGTACAGTTGCAACATATGCGTTCGTTCGATGATAATAACTGGCAGCGCAGAATGCATTCTGTGTGCTGGGGATTAGACAACTGGTAGCACTTCCATTATATACACAAATCAGGAAAATGGTTGGTATGTAGGGAATCTCGATAGTTTTGTCTGGCCGAGAGAATAAACGTTTGATACGCCTCCTGGAAAATCGCATATTGAGTTCTCAGCATACCAGGGCACGTGGTCAGTACGGTCGGCATTTCAGGATGAAATTGCATCACCAACAGTTTTGTTGCTGTGGTCCATTTGGGTCCATTATTGACGAGCTGCCGGAGGTCAACTGCCAGATTCTCACTCAATGGAAGTAAATGCTGTTCTCTCAAGAGACAGACTACCTTCCGCATATGGTTGCGGCAGGAGTTCGCAAAATTCGTGCGTTGGGAGTTAGAACCAAACATCCTACTTAGCTGGGATACTGACATGAGAATACGACCTAATTACGCATTCTTATTCTACTACGAGTGAGCGCACTGAGTTCGTACTAGAATGTTTTCCCAATAACACCAGATTTATACTCGGTGTGAGCATAAACAGTAACAAAATATAGACAACGTCAAGCGTTGATAGGATTTAGCAGATGTGCACAGGCAGTAAATGAGGCACAAACGACCTATGTGGCCTTCAACAAAATTAGAACTAGGTGGAACACGGTTTCGTAGGAATTCACATGAATGTCACAGCTAAATCACTGGATAAAGTATGGTGGTACGGTGAATATCTGATAGAATTTTCCTCCCTTATTTTCAGTTGCGAAACATTTTGTTAACTATGGCGGGAAAGCACTATCCGTTGCATTCGGGTTTGATTTTCTTAGATAAAGCGTTAGATGGTATGAACAGTCTAATGGCCTAACGATTCCTCGTCCCGTCACATTGACACACAAGTACTGGGAGTGTGTTTGGTGCTTTCCATGTGGCGCGGATTGAATGGAGCGGCAATTCGTGTGTCCGATTGAAAAACAATGAAAAGTGCGCGTCCAAGTGCAGATCGGGGAAGACGTTTATACTTCACCCGGTGGCGAGTGAAGGCAAACGCTATCAGTTCAGTAGTCACGTTCACGAAGCATAGGTTTATAAACACACTGTGTGATGATTTGACAAAATAGTTGCCTTTGTCGAGGCAATCTAATTGACAATTAATTGGACATAACCAGTAGTGCGATCAGTGTGCTCAATGAAAAGCACAGTTGTAAATCAAATATATCCCATTATCTGGTATCAATACTGTTGGCAGATTGACCGACTAATCTAACCCACCTGCAGAGAAGTTGCAGCTCCAATCACGAGGCCTAAGGACTGTCCAACGAGGGAGGTGAGGATGCAGATACCCAAGAACAGGAAAAAACGGAGTGCTTCCGCTGGTTGCTCTGTCATCCAGTATACTATGCCACCGTATGCCACGGGGAAGAATATCTGCAAACAGAAATAACGATGTAAATGTTCTACTCTATAATAAAAATAGGCATAAATGTGGAATAAAATGGTGTGTTAACGGTCAATCATAGCTAGTGTCTAGGCAATATGGACACCTCTCCTTAAGTTACCCACAAGACATGGCAATTGTTCCCCACTTGCAACTGTCAAATGCGTCTTGATTTCTCCCCACGTTTTCCACTAGTCCTCAATCGCGTGTACACCTTCGCGCACAACGCCCACGTTTCTTTGTGCCTAAGAGTTTACACTTCGGCATATGAGAACCTCCTATATACCTGGGGTTAAGTGTTTATATATGCACTGCATCTAAAAATTGTCAAGGTTGGCTGCACATTGTAATCCTGGTTATGAGTGTTTGTGCTGACAAAGATCTATTGGTGGAATCATGCCCGGAGTATAAGTTATTCCTCTAACTGGTAGCATTAGATTGTAAACAGTGCATTTCAACAAACAGATGAATCATGAATAATTGCATCACCGACTCGCTGAATAGTGGTGATGAAGTTCACTGAGCTAAGTGAAAACGCAGCATGACTAAAAATATCAAGCACAACTGATCATTATTTTTGCATTAATGTAATGAACAGACTCACTTGAAAGGGAACGTCAGCTAGAGATTTGGCTAAATAATATGCCTTCAAGCTGTACCAATAGTTCATATGTTCTCGTACGAAGATAGGCATTTCCACCGGAACTACAGTTGAAAGAACAAAACATATTTCGGAATACGCTGAATTTGCTTAAATAAGGAGGTCATTTCATTGGCCTCTTTAGTTTTTCCAACATGATAGCAGTTATTTCAGTATCCGCCCCATAGACTACCATTGGCGGCTGTGATGAATAGACATATAAAATGTGAAATCATATCTCAACTGCCACAATATAAGTCTCTACAGTTGCATGCAGCCACATTCAGATTGGTCGTCATAGGAGGACCTCTAACGGCGCCTCGCCAAAAAACTGCGGAGGGAAATGTTACCCATCGCATCAGTCAGGTAATGTTTACAAAACATGCACTTTAGTTTGCATTACTACACTGCTATGAAGTGCATCGCCGTGGATCGCCAATTGCGAAAATATTTGGTTCCCAAGTGATGATGAATATGTATGAACTGATTTGAAGGCGGACATCCTTGTTCCTTTACGCACTATCCTGTAAACGGTCTCCCTAGAAACGCCACCATATGAACACTTTGTGCTGGGTAGATAATGTTTTCACACTTATTTATTCAGCACTCATGTTAGGTCGGGCTAGAAATATCTGTTTGTGCTTAAACGCCATCCGACTTGGAGTGCAGCTGTCCAGATACTTGATGGCAAACGCCTTCTCATCACTTGCAGACATTTTTTGGATAACCCCGAGTGTTAAAGTGCTTGTTTCTAAGTCACAACGATTTACAGATATACCCATCAAATTGCAGCAACTTAATGACTACATCCTTTTAGTCACGTACATGAAAGCGGAATACTAGATTTGAGCCAGTGCCTAGGTGTGCTGCGATTCACAGTGCTACATTTCTAGTCAGACTTACCTATCTATGATATTATAAAATATAACGTGGATGGTTTATTGCACCACAGACGTGTGAATCACATATGTCAACAAAGGTTTCATTCTTCGAGCATCAAACATGTGAGATCAATTGGACGGATTTGGTCTCCTTTTGCTTGGCAGCAGACCTATAGGAGTGCTGGTATGAGTGCTGGTATGGTATTTGAATAAGTACTCCCCACAATACCAGTCAAATGTCAGCGCTACTAACACTGTGCGAGCAGTGTGGTGCAAATTGCACTGCCCTAATAAAGCACACCATATTCGTCAATTTAAGCACATTATAGTAATGTTAAAGACTAAGCAAACCTCTGAGCAAACCAGCCTCCTCTAAATATCCGATAATGTATGAACTTTGTGAGATAGTCTCATGTTGCCACTGCTACCCGTGTAGCAAGTACTTTTGAACAGATATGATACGGAAATCTGTTATTTTATTGCGATTGTGCGGACATGAAGAATAAACTTCGGTGTAACGCCAAATTCCGGCAAGCTAACTAATACAACCAGTATGTCAACGCTCTTCATGGTTAACAAGCAGAAAGCGTAAGCATTCAGTTAATGTTCACTGGAAAGTGAATTTCCAGACGGAATCTGCTGTCACTGCGCAGTCATCATCCGCATGGTTTATGATAATAGTATTCTCCACGTAAAGCAGATTGCATTCAGAGAGTAACGCGGTCTTGCTAACGTTTGTTCTATACATTCGCGGTGGCGAAGAATTTGACTCTTCTGACCGTAAGATTGCGGCAAATTGCGTTACCTGCTAGAAGGGCTTATTCCACATGCACTGTCGACACTACTCTTGAAAGATATGATTGTAAGCTGTGATTCTGTCACGTTTTCCAATCACATCACAGAAACGTAAATTATGAAGCGTGATGCATGTGTTACAGTATATCGCACCTTAAGGGATAAACAAAATTTTATAAGCCTGGGACTGTCCCAATCATTGCCTTGACCTTTAATTTTACACAACTCATAAGGTGAAAAAATTATTAATTCAGATAAAAGCACGCTCACACATTTTATTCAAAGTAATATAGTAATGGTAAGGACTAAGATTTAAGTTCAGCACCAGTCGTTTAAGTTGTCAATCAATCAGCTGTTGCATCCCTTCCTTTTGTAACACCAAATAGTGAAAGATGAATAAATGGAAATCATTTTTACTTGCAACACAAACTAAGTGAAAACACCTTCAAGTGGTGTACCTCAGATGGTCATCGCGCTTCCGAAACAATACTGCACGGTCGTTTTATCTTCCCCTGTAATCAGCAAGCAGTCCAGAGTAATTCACAAAAGTATGAACACAACCGCTTGGCTTATTTTGTGGGTAATATTTCGCAGTTGATATAAATTTTCATTAGGCCAAGCGAGTCAACACCGGATTGGTGTAGCACCTTTAGCAAACTGGAAAGATAACTATGACGAGTGGGAAGTAACTAGCAGGTTAATCGCGTTACAGTGATCGAAACTAGTTTGGTGCGTGGTTGAATTTAAATCGTTGCTCTGACGGCACCTTTTCTGTCTGCCTTTCAGAAAGACACTCCTGTGCAAGTATTGAAGAAGGACAAAAACCTGAAGCGAACAGTTGACTGTAACTTTTCTTTCACCCCTTCCTATGTTACTGATTCTTCCTTATAGAGCCTACGTGTTGCGTAATAGACGTTCCATCTCAATCTCTGGACTTCTCCCTTGCCTGTATGCTATAATTGGCGACCCTGCCAGGACCAAGAGATAATAGCAAAGCCAGGTGAACCGTCTGGTGATGAAATTCAGCCGCTGACCTCCGATCCGGGGGTAAGGATTGCTTCTGCTTTGGAATCCTTGTCGGACGCTATGCGGAAGATGACAACAAACCTGACACCCGCCCCTTCCACACCTCCGTTACCCCCTCCGGAAAAGTTGTTTCCAGGCATACCATATCTCCGATGGGAGAAACAAGTGCAAATGTACGTCAATCAGTTTCCAGCCCAACAACGTGGTACTGTTATCATAGGCCTGCTAGCAGGCGAGGCATTTGACAAAATTATGGATAGTAAAGTGTTATTTGGGGAAATCACCACGGAAACCTTCGCTGCACTTCGCCGTATCTTAGATCGGCCTGGCCTGCCCGACGAACTGCGCAAAGTTTTCCATGCCCGGTATCAAAGACCGGGCGAAAACGTGGAAACATTCGTTCACGAACTGCGGAGGATGACCGTAACTGCCTACACAGAGGAAACGCAGGAACAACAGGACGAGCGCGTGTTAGAGCAGTTGCTCGAGGGCATCCAAACTCCTTCGGTAAAAAGGGAGTTCCGTTTACGACGCCCTACGTGTCTTCAGGCAGCCCTAACAGTGGCAGATCAACTAGAGCAAGTCGACACGTCCATGGGCCCCATGGAACCATGCTGTGCGCTGAATCGATACAGTCCCGCTAGATTCCAGCCACCAGACCGAAGAACTTGGAATCGTTTTCCGTATCGAGGGGATTACTCGAGACGTCCGGTACAATCGAACTTCCGAAGGCCCTGCCCTCCCCCACCAAGAAGAAGAAATTCCCCGCCAAGCCGTGGCAGCCGAAATCCTCAAGGTGAGTGTGACCGTGTGAAGTCCGTTTTCATTCCCGCTGTCACATGTACAATGTCCGCATTCGCATTAACGGTAGAGCTAATCATAGCAGGAGTGCCACTGGTAGGTCTAATTGACACAGGGGCATGTAGGAGCCTAGTCCGAGCTAACATAACTAAATCTCTGTCAGATTGTGTGTGGACACCATGCTGCTATCGTCTGACCGCTGCTAATGGGGAACCGCTGCCTGTTCGGGAATCTATCACTGCTCAGGTACACATTGCTAATGAGAAGTTCCGCCACGAGTTTATTGTCGCTGATAACATCCCATTTTCGGTAATCATTGGAACGGATTTATTGAAGCGTCTGAGATGTCACTTAGATCTAGACAAATACCAGTTGATCACCGACAATTGCGTTGTATTGCTCAGACAAGGCCAGGCCGACAGTCTTGAAACCTTTACGATTTGTGGGAGCTCCTCTGACGAGGAAGACCGGGTAGACACGTTTATCCGCTCACTCGATTTGCCAATGGACGAACGAACGTTAGGAAAGCTCAAAGAAGTGTTGCTAGTCCACTCTGACGCATTCGCCTGGCAGACAGGAGACCTGGGCCGCACCAGCGTCGTGAAACACCTAATCGACACGGGGAACACGACCCCGATTAAGAACCACCCAAGACGGATCCCAGTGCACTGGCAAGGCGAGCTGCAAAAGCTCATAGCTGACATGTTGAAAAAGGAAGTTATACGACCCTCTACTTCTCCATGGGCATCCCCAGTCGTCTTGATAAAGAAGAAAGATGGTGGTTTTAGGCTGTGTGTTGATTATAGACGGCTAAACGAAGTCACGCGGAAAGATGCATACCCACTGCCCAGAATTGATGACATTTTCGACGTGCTCGGAGGATCAGCTTATTTCAGCACGTTAGATTTGGTGTCTGGTTATTGGCAAGTGGAGGTTGAAGAGAGTGATCGAGCGAAGACAGCCTTTGTAGTCCCTTCAGGCCTTTATGAGTTTCAAACAATGCCTTTCGGCCTATCAAACGCTCCTGCAACATTTCAACGCCTTATGCAGAAAGTGCTTCAGGATTTGATTCCTCACAAGTGTCTCGTCTATCTGGACGATGTCATCGTACATGGGAGAACGAAGGAGGAACAGCTAAGCAATCTAGCTGAAGTGTTAACGTGTCTAATCAAGGTAGGTTTGAAACTCCAACCAAAGAAGTTACCTATCTCGGACACATCATCTCTAGAACAGGCATCCTCACAAATCCGCGCAAAACAGATCAGATAAAGGCGTGGCCAATTCCCACTAACGCCGAGGAGTTACTCAGTTTCTTAGGACTGGCATTATACTACCGTCGATTCATAAAAGGGTTTACGGAAGTCGCAGCCCCTTTAAACGCGTTGTTGCAGAATAAACGCAATTTCGATTGGACTGTCGAATGTCAAACGAGCTTCGATCGATTGCGTGAGTCTCTGTGTACCGCCCCGATGTTAATCTTTCCCGACTTGTCACCACACGCTGTGGAGTTTATCTTGGACACGGATGCCAGTGATCAAGCCATTGGAGCGGTTTTGTCACAGAAAGGGCGGGATGGCATAGAGAGAGTGGTTTCATACAGTAGTAGAAGCCTTACATCAGGAGAAAGAAATTACTGTACGACAAAAAAAGAAATGTTGGCGTTAATGTTTTTCAGAAACAAAATCGGCACTACCTTTTAGGAAGAAAATTCTTAGTACGGACTGATCACCAATCACTCAGGTGGTTGCAAAACTTCAAGGACCCTGAGGGGCAGATTGCTTGATGGCAGGAGCAGCTACAGGAGCATGATTTCGAATGTCACCATCGGCCTGGGAAACTACACGGCAATGCGGACGCGCTATCGAGGATTCCGTCTCGAGATCACGGAAAATGTCCTCCCTACATTACGCAACACGTAGCGCTAGTCAACCTACAAAAAGCCGGGTATGGCCGTTGGCAAGCGGCACAGGCTTCGGACCCAGACATATCACTTATCTACCACGAGCGGTGCTCGGGAAGGGACAAACCAGCTCCAAAAGAAATGGAAGGGAAAAGCTATGAGGCCCGGTGCTTGTGGGCGATGTGGGATAAACTCGCCATCGAAGAGGGTGTGTTGGTCTTCGATTTCGGCCCCACGTACCTGACGAGGATCGTAGTTCCACAGGTGTTAGTTACGAAAGTGCTGTCGGAACTGCACCAACAGCTGGGACACGCTGGAATCAATAAACTCGAATCGGCGGCGCGTCGACGATTTTAGTGGCCGCATCAACGAAGAGACATTGTCAACTTCTGCCAAACTTGCGAAAGATGCGCGACGCTCAAAAATCCGCCTATTGCTCACAAGGCACCATCACAATCCATGACAGCAGGTTACCCGAACGAAATAGTTGGTGTAGACCTCGTTGGTCCACTATCGGAAACGCCGAGAGGGAATCGCTACATTCTAGTCATGGTAGGCTACTTCACCAAATGGTGCGAAGCCGTGCCAATCGCACAGGCTGATACTCTCACTGTGGCAACAGCGATGACTAACCACTGGGTTTGCCAATGGGGAGCGCCTGGGCAATTGCATTCCGATACGGGATCATGTTTCGAAAGCTCACTGGTCCAAGAGATGTGCAGAGCATTCGGTATTGATAAAACGTGAACAACGGCCTACCATTCACAAGGGAACGGACAGGTTGAATGTATGAATCGGTCGTTGAAGTCACTATTGAAGGCGTTCGTGGACCAGAACATTTACGAGTGGGACACGTTGTTGCCTAAATGCTTAATGGCCTATCGCAGTACGGTCCACTCTTCTACCGGACAAACGCCGTCGTTTATGTGGACGGGTAGAGAAGTTCGGTTTCCCTCGGATGTCCGATTACCGAGATCACAACAGGTGTACCCGTCAGTCGTTGAATACGTCAGAAACTCCTTGACTCCGTTCGACGCACACACGAAGCGGCACGCATCCATTTGGCGAACGCTCAACGGCGACAAAAGGAATACTACGACAAGAAGGTCTTCGGTGTCCCGTTGAAAGCAGGCGACCTCGTATATTTGCATCAGGCACCGGTATCCGGAATACCAGCGAAGCTGCATCGTGAGTGGGCTGGCCCCTACGTGGTAGACCGAATAATATCTTATCTAACTTGTGTGATTAGGGACCCAAAGAACGCCGTTGGGCCGCACATGGTCGTACACTTAAATCGGCTTAAAGCTTTCCATATCGAATCTGAGCATTCGGATGAGGAGCATCACAATAAGCCACCGACAGAAGTAGCCACCGAAGTTGAACTACCAGCTCAAAGGGGCTTTGGTGTGGCAACGGGGACGTTGCCTACATAGAAGGGGTGCGGTGTAACGAGTGATCGAAACTAATTTGGCGCGTGGTTGAATTTAAATCGTTGCTCTGACGGCACCTTCTTTTCCGTCTGCCTTTCAGAAGGACATTCTTGCGCAATTATTGAAGATGGACAAAAACCTGAAGCGAACAGTTGACTGTAACTTTTCTTTCACCCCTTCCTATGTTACTGAGACGACCTCACAACCTGTGCAAGTCGCGTTTCGTATGGCTTACGTGATTGCTCTGCCCCGAAAAGATCAAAAACAGCAGCTGACTGTGTGTTGTAGGGCAATACTTGATACGTGCTTTGTTTAAAGGCCACCACCATTCAATATATTCCCGAGACATTGTTCATGTACGTCAATAAGAGAAATATGTAGCTGAAGGTCTTACCAAGAATGAACGTAGTTTGGGCAAGCGATATCTCACTCAACTTCTACATATGCTTTCATAACGGAAAGAGTTGGCACTATTTATTTGAAAGTACGACTGGAAAGCAATTGCTACTGTTCCTTGGGTAGCAACAATTTCTATATATAACAATGATAGCAATACCAGATTACCACTATCGATTTAACGGAATTTACCGATGGTCGTACTGTTTCACTACCTGCGGTTAAGTAAGTGTACATTATTTATCTCAGTCATGTTAACGTTTAAGCTGTTTCCAAAAGAAACTGAACCAGAACATGACACAGTCCGAAAAGTTATATCTGTTTTGCATGGACATTGATGCCACATAACCTTATAGCTATTCACCATGGTCAACGGAAGTTCAAAATACTTATACACTAAAGTGGTTCATAAGTAAACAAAATGCCAAGAGACAGACAGAGAAAACTACAACACATTGAATAGTGTCATAAAACAGTAGCAACGAAGCTGTTACCTTTCCACTGCCAACAAGCAACAAGACACTAGAAAATACAAACTTACAACCTACGCGAGGTAATGTTTATTAAGTTTTCTGTCAATCGAGGAGCATTAGGTCCCAATATGGTTGCGAACTTGCTTGATGTTTAGTTTTAAGAACTGCAGCTAGAAGGAGACGTCAGTTTAGGATAACATTTATCTGCATCTGGTCGCCACAGGAAGAACAGAAAGAGTGATACGTTGGTGCATGGCATGATATTAGAAATGGATATCAAAACAGAGAGAGGAATAGCACACTTGAGTTTCAAAGTATGTTTTTTGCAATATGAACCTTGACGCTAACGTAGTTGCATTTTTAATCACAACCGTCCACCATTATTTGAAACAAACTATAACCGAGAAAGTGTCTACGTGGGCTAATATATCCTTCTAGACGGTGAAATTATGTGAGGGCTTTTCTTCTTACCTGCCTAACCGCCGCATTTGTGTAACAACAGGTAATTGGGTTTTCTTCCCAGTTTGGTAGCGTCAACACAAGGCACAATCATAACTGAATAAAAATGCTACATGAACGTTCACTATGTCGCATTATGATAGATGAGCTAAATGTGCTTCAAGCTCCGTTTATTGGAGAGCACATGCACGGGTTTTTAACAGAGCGGAGCAGTTTCTGGTGACCTTATTAACGTTGTGTTTCTGTTGCGAAATATTTTATACCTTAAATATTGCAAATGCAGTGCATAATCTATCAGCATAAAGAAAAATGACCTTGCACAAAAGGGCACGAATCCCACTCGCCGGGAAATATACTCATTTATCTATTTAATTTTAAGTGGTTGAGGCCAAAGAATGCAAATAATAAAATAGAAAGTCACACAGGAAATACTTTACTTTTGATGGACATAAAAGCAAGAACTGGACACGCAACTCTGATGTACAATAATGCTTCCACAACCTCACACTGATGGATGTCTCAAGGTAACGTGGGAATCAGACAGAAATTTGCGATGTGTAAAAGTGGATTGCTTTAAACTGACCGTATCGCGGACGATGGATAGAATGCTGCGGACAAACAGAACACGAAATTGCGTCAACAGACTGGTTTCGAACGATCGAGAGTGTCGCGCCTCCTGTCACAAAAGTGGCAATGGAAGAAAGACAGAGAGGTCCTCACATCATTCGGTATTGGCTGTACACTATATGTTAACGAAATTGGTTGTATAAATGTTGCACCAACTTTTGTGATTTGTCTGGTTACACATTCTTGTGTGTTTCAGGGGCATCTACAGCAAGTTATTTATTCATTCAATTCCTAGAATGATGTGAAACAGAGTGAATTCACAATCGGATGCACGATAAACAGCTAGTATCGGACAACTCCCGGTCCTCTACAGCGACTTGACTTAGGCTAAACGTAAACAACAAGATCAAGAGGTGGCGGGTGATGTTTCAGTGACTCGAAGACTACTGAAAACAAATCATGAAATTGGAGTGCCAATAAGAACTAGACGTTGTGTGATTGGATTGCGACGCGCAATCTCTATGTGGACCGCGATTCACATTGAAGTGAACCTTAGTCACTGCGATCACTGCCGTGTGTTTTCTTTCTAGATGAGTTCCGCTAAATGATTATATCTGGATGAGTTTACTGCTGAGGAAGCTCAGCGCAGCACGCATAAACTATGTTTTCGAGCAGTTCCTCTTTCGTTCACATATAGTCAAATCCTAACCATCGGCATTTAGGACAGTCGTTTGAGGCAATAAAATGCCTTCAACAACATCTCGATCAATGAATCCCAATCTGGAAATCGAAATGAAGCAAAGCGCAAATGGTGGATAACCTGGTAAGCAAAAAATAGCATGCAATAAGTGAACGCTGATGAGGCGGTACGTAAATCTGAAGCACATATTCTCCTATTATCCATTATGGTGTGCCGCTGTAATTCACTACCATCAACATCCGCTGCCGACCAAGCTTCGTATTTTGTACTGTGGCGTATGTCAAAATAGAAGTGTCCAAAACTTCATCAATTGTTAACGCGTCAGTAATGGAAACGCGCCAACTTATTTGCTTCAGTAAGTAAACAGTTTTATTTAAAAAATGTCGCTGCAAAGAGAACATCGTAACCCGCTGCTTCTTTCACTGAAATCCCGATTAATTCTATGGGACAATCGACAACAAATCGTGGCCACAGAATTCACCTACTTTATCGTTAGTAATGAGCTTCGTGTTCATAGCACTTTATCTTTAGTCAAGCGTGAACAGTAGAAACCGGCTAAATGTTGCATCGCCTAAATCACATAGTAAAAAGACAAATAATTCAAAAAGTATGCATCACACTTTCAACTGTACGACGGTTTTAACTTTGGGATTTACAGGGAGCAGAATGAGCCAGAATAAACTCATTGATAAACTTGCCAAAGCAAAAGGTAAAACCGTACAAATGTTCGTGAATGAGTTGAAAAATGATAACTTTTGATGAAATTATTTGAAACCGCTTCAACAAATCATAATTTTCATTATGCATGTAGAGATCGCGGACCTGATTCACATACCGTCATGGGACAGCTAAACCCCCACCCAAATTTTGTTACCAGATGTCGTGCATAATTTATTTCACATGATATGAAGGAACATATGCCATACTGACGGAAATGCCCCTCGTGAACACAAGCTACGTGAAGTGCATCTACCACCGACATTTTCACAACGAATTGAAAATTATATGTCTATCAGATATGGTTCTCAGATAAAAACTTTGGTCAGAATTGTGGTATGGGCTCTGGGAATCAGTTTCGATTCGGGTGTCCCATATTCCGAAATAACCTTCCATTAGAATGCGCAATTTTAACAATTCTTTAGCCTATTGCCCACTAATGTCGGATGTTAACATGTACGTGACAAAAACTTCCGGCTACTTTGAGAATCAGCTGAGGCCGTCACTTTCATGCTTAACAATTGGTTTCATTGCTTTGAAAGGCTGACATTTGAAGCAGATCGCTTAAGAAATGACACTCATTGCGGTATATATGTTGCACGTGGTACCGTCGGTTACATTGCCGTAATAGGCTACTTTTGAAGGTGGGCCATGTGATATAAGTGCATGATCAGGAGCAGATGCATTCATTTCCTAAAACTTCCTTCGTACCTGGTTATCTAAAACCTAATCGAAAAACGCGAGTAAACTAAAGTCTGCTGTGTCGTTTTGATTTCTCAGCATCAGACTTCGCAGCGATTACTCAGATTTGTAGGAAAGTGTTCCACATTGTGCTGTCGGTGTTGTTTGGGCTGTAAAAAATTAGTGTTTCCCAATGTACTGTGTTTAGATTCGACTTAACTAGCCGATTACCTATCAACCGATCTAGTGGCGCTTACGAAAGTGAACAGGTTACGCGGTGGACGTCTTTACTTCTGAGGAAATTTGCAGTACGGAGTAATATGAAAAGTAAATTTGGCTGGAACTTTGTTTGACCACATGCGGAATCGGTGGGGATGACAATGCGATCAAAGTAGGAATGGAATTGAAAATGTTCGAGAGTCACGAATCATTTTCCAGCGCACCCGTTGCAGATGAGGTTTGCGGCGTAACCGATCACATACGCTAACCTTTTTGGTGCACTGTTTGAAAGTCACGCAATACTCGGATAGCTAACACAGATGTCGCATGAAAGCAGATGCAGAAGTTCCATACAGCTTTGTTTTTTCCCGGCGCAGACTTATTTATAGTAAAGGGGCAATTTCTGTCTGGTGCTTTCTACACATGGATTACAGAGGCATATTTTGAGTGCCAGTAGGATATCGCTCTCCAACACACGCAGATCTGGACTTCGCCTGACAGTCCATTGGAGAATTACCATAAGCAGAAAATTTGGTCAAACGCTAGTAGAATGCAAATCCAAAGTGCACCATGTATAAACCTGGTTCTTAAAGGGAACGGCTGAGGGCCAATCTGCAAACAATCCCCAGAAACATTCCACCTACTCAGCTCAGTTTGATAGGCAGATGGCTAGCGAAGAACAGGTGTTGTCGGAAAACTGGCATCACATTTTGCTGCTCAAGAAAACTGTACATAAAACAGCGTGGTAACGGCAGTTGAACCAGCAGTAAATTCAGTGAAGCAAAAGAAAAACACCTCCTTACTCACCTCACCCGCAGCCTTCGATTCGGTCTTCTTAGACGGTCCGTTGCATCGAAAATCTAGCTGCACTGATGTTTCATCCCTCTTAAACATAAAAGTCCAAAGTGGATACAGTAGAGCACATGTAAAATGAACCTTCAAGAATTGTGTAAGCAGAAGGACTGTACTTGTCAAATAGAGGTGATTATCGTGTAGCATCTACGTAGGTGATATAATTCAGACCAGTAACACAGCCGCCATTCTACAAAGTGATGGAACACAAAGACAAACATCCCAAATAGTAGTTTGTGGAAATGACGTATGCATGGGACGAGTTAAAACGTCGAGTGGTAATTCAGTGCACATATTGGATAAAACGAAGCATAACTGTGACGTAAGTCCTTCCAAGCATTCGTACGCAGTCGCGAACTCATACTGCCACCAAACAGGAATACAAAGTATCACGTACAGGAGGTTACTATTTAACTGTTCAATACATTGCTTGTTTTAACACTGAATGCTTCAGGCAGAGATGTGAAGGAGTCTCGCGAATGTAACAGTGCACCCAGTGCAGTGTTGGCAGAAAGTACCTCCGAAACTCTCCACTTTGGCTACGGTCCCAGTGATCGAAATGGCATAGGTTTGTTTTAAAGCAAACAGTAACCTTAACCGGGGTTGCGTGTCGCAATCCAGACACACGGCGGGTAATCCAGCAGCCAATAACGAACTTTTGATTAATTTTAATTACATAATGCTGTAGGTTAACCATATAAAGAAAACGAAGAGAGAAGAGATGAATACGGGGTGTTAGGCGAGTCACAGCAGGCAACGCTTGGCACGACGGTTAATGACTGAGTGGAGAGGATCATTTTGAAGCACTAGTTGTGTGAGTCGATTGCGACGCGCAATCTCAATGTGGCCCGCGTTTCTCACTGAAATGGACCGTGGCACATTCGATCACTGGGACCGCAACGGATGAAGCTGAAAGATAGGTTACAACTACTTGGTCTTCCTAATCAAATAGTAAAGCATAGCTTAAAATTTGCTAGAAATTTTAGGCAGACGTCGTGATAAACACAGGCGACGAGCAAAGGAACACAAACGAAAAAGGCCACATTGCAAGCACTTGCAGTGTTAAACTGGTACGTCATAGGGCTTGAATACTTGGGCATGGTCAGCTGACTTAGGGAGGACTGCCTCCCCTTTTGAAAAGGATACCAGCTTCCCTGAAACAATCTACAGTTCCAAACTTCCTAAAAACCCTCTGGATAGGAACGTTTGTTCTCCTGTGTCTCCTCTGCCTCACAGGAAATGCTGCTCTGCTTACACATTCCTAGATGGCTCATTATGAATCATTCACAACCCTCTAGCTTGAACCCCCAAGGTAGCTACACATTTGTGCTGACAATTTTTCCCCAACCGTGATACGCAGTTCGTTGTATGCGCCAGCTTGTGTTACCTGGATTTGCGTGGCTTAAAGTGAAGTGTAGATTACTAATCAGTCGATATAGTCGGCAAACTGAGACGATCAATATCGGCCGACAGCCGCTATCATCGCTCATTCGGGTTCGAGTTCGTATAACATAGTAAACCACGTCACAGTATTGCAAGCATAAGGAAATATGTTCCACGAGCTGTGCAACAATTAAGGTATGCCAGATTTATCTGGAACTATTTGTGTTTGATTTTTTTTAATGTTCATGGTGAAACAATGCTACTTTTGAAGGATCGGTTTTGTGTGGATAAGTCGCCAAAGTGCCCTTAAGTAAAAGCTTTCTTATTGTAGCACTTGCCGATATATATATATATAAAAAATATACATGAGAAAAAGTATCAGCGTTTCCAGGCGTATAGTAGTATAACTCAAACACTACGGGCTAAAGACCTGTAAACGGCTCTCTTTGAGACTGCAGACATCAATGGCCGTAGTCTCTAGATTGTAAGCAAGGGCTACTTGTGATTCAATCTGCATCAGCGTCTGAACATTGAAGATTTCCAGCCTGAATTGGGTACGAGGCGCTAGAAATGGCTTGCGCACATGTCCGTACATGTGGATTTCAACAATGCCTGAAATCGGTCATTGTGTGCACTGCTACAAGTAGTTTTCATCCAGCATTATCCAAATTAAGAATATAAATCTTCATCAGTTATATCATGCACAATTCTGGTGAACTTAAATCAATCTCCAAATTGGGATAGTGTAACGCAAAACAATTAGGCATCGAAAAGAGGTCCCGAGGACTGTTCAGTCATTACTGGTAAGTAAAGCCAGAGATAGCCATTGCAGTTCTATGATATTTATGTTCAGTACAAAATGGCAGGCATATGTGGAAGCCTAATGCTCAAGGTTCACGTAGAGTCGTTTTGTTCCAGAAAAGGTATCTCTGAAATAACTTTGATTGTGAGCTAGCGGCAAACGTGACAGAACACACGAAATCGATAAGCATCTACTTTTGCACGTTACTTCAGCTGCAAATTTTGAAAACAATTTCCAATTAACCAACCCAGCTAAACCATGTCGCACGCAAAGTATGTGGTTGCTGACGAAATACGACTTCAACTTAGCGACATAACTGTGATTACAACGATTAAAATATACTTGTGCCGCACTTTTTATGTTACCTGCTTGTTCTTACTAAAGGATAAGATGAACAAACGGTGTCCGATTGAACTTCCCAATGAATTCGGCTGCAAAAGAAACCGATGACAGTGCAAGACTGATGATCCAGTGGGTTTATGTGTCTGTCACATTCTTCTAATATACCTTTCTCCTATCTTTACAAATCACTATTCACTGCAAAAATTCGTCTACAATTGTCTCCGCTTAATGGAATAAAAATACCAACGATTAAAGGTCTTTTTGGTTATCCATCTGTTGTAATCAAACAGTTATGTTAAGGTTTTGAACTTACTACTTTAACTGTCGCGCATTCGCTTAGGAATGCACAGCTTAATCAAATCCGTATATTTTTGTTTAGCAAAACTGCTATTTGAAAACTAATTTACTGGGGGCGACAATCATTAAGAGCCGAAAACTGCATGTTCCATAGTGGCTATTACGACACACTCGGGTAATCCCTCCAACATAACGTTGACAAATACAAGTATTTCATGAATCCGTACATTCCCTTCTGTAAGCTGTGTTTAAATTACGATCCGTCCTTTTGTGGGCACAGTTGACCAATCAAGGGACTGGATTAAAGTGATCAACATACAGAGGTTTGGATATATAAGCTTTAAGTGGTGAACGTTAAAGCAATGAAAAAATAAACGGTTAACTTAGAGAGGTACTCAAGTTTGGTTTTACTGTATACATTTTCAGTGAAATGCAACTCGATCAAATCCATTTGATAAAAACAGCGATGTCCTCAATGCCATGAGATTTGTTCACCATCATCGACATACGACAAGAGAGACGCCTCATCTATTGTGCCGTGGTATAATACAGCCACATAAATGTAAGAGCAAGTGAGACAGACGCAATAAACAATATACCTTACATTATTGAGTATCAACTGATATTTTTGGACCATTTTTCATTTCTGTATTGGACGATCGGCTTATAAAGCGTTATGCACAATTTACAAAAGTAACATGCAAAACCTACCCAAGAAAGCACTGCGCACCTCTGTCCCTATCTCCTCTTAGCACCACGCGCTAGTGATGGACGGTATTTCAGACGGGGATTTGAAATGCCACATATTTTCCTACAGTGTCTACGCTGCACTGCGAACAGCGTGCCTATAGCTTGACACGTTACTTTTGTGGCGAAAATCCTCGCTGCGGATGGCAGTAACAAAAACACGGGAATAAACAGAACACACACGTGAGAGAAGGTATCGATGACGTCAAACTCGCGGATAAGCAAATTCGTTCCTCTTTTTTCTGTTTTTTTGCGATCGGCTAATATAGGGACTTAAGAATTTGGACAAATTTGACATTGTAAACGTTGAGTGTGCGCTTATCCATGGATGGGCTTGTATTCGTTAGTATACAGTAATAAAAATTTAGCGCTCAAATTTTTTATTATGCATCAGTAGTGAGATCGCCGTTGGAGGAGGGTTTACGCGGGACAGGCTAAAGGAGACTCAAAGACAAATGTCACGTCAACATGCATCTCAAACCAAGCTTGTTTACCGCTTTTCGTATCTCAAGCAGGAAGTCGGCAGGCAAGAACCGAGTCCAAGCTCGGCGTGACAGCCTTCAGTTTTCTTGAGCAAATAATCGGTTGGCCTTGAGCTATCTACGTGCTCTAAGCTAATCGATGTCATGTAAACCTTCAACTTGGAAAAACGCTAACGCTACTTGGGTCAATAATCTTGCCGATATAGACATCCTGATAAACGAATAAAGATGGGATAGATAACATAGCTATCGGGTGTAAACTCCAAGATCAAAACCGTAGCTACGCTGGTTGAGTGCTAGAAAATAATAACCCTTTAGATCAAACCTGGCCCGTTATCAGATGAATTCTATAAATGTCTTCATTATCGCAATCAATACACGTTAGCCGATGGTGAGAAATACATTGCAGCTGATGTGCCGCAATACAAGAAAGATAAGAGATTAAACCTTATGGGTTACAAAAGGCAAGAACATAACCAGATTGCTAAATATCAGATTAGGCATAGGGTTTGAGATCGTTGTTTGAGGGAGAAGTTCAAGAAGAGGGGAGGGAAAAGTGACAACACAAATGCCACTGTGGACGGCTCTTCGACATGTCAATAAGTGTATCTAACCACAGTCTTTCGAACCCCGGCTGGACAAACTGAAAACACCAACCGACGCCAATTTCGAAGTGAATGACTTCATTCCTCACAATCAGGTCATCGATTGGTCTTCCCACCTAATCGTCCATCCACATCCCGGGCGCGCAAACAACGCATGACGCGGGATTCGGTGGGCTGGCAGGCACAACACGTGGCTCAGCCATCGGAGTGTGGTGTGTGAAGTAAGGGTGCTGAGCGGTTCACTTACTCCTCCTGCACCAAATACCCGACTTCGAACACGCTCATTACTCACGCGGTGCTCGCAGCAGATATGAACTAAGCTGCAGCGATAGTCGAACGATGTCGACATGGTAGGCCAGGTTTCGCAACCGTACAGCAGGGTCGAACGGACGGCTGCGTCGTAAACTCGACCCTTTAGAGCGAGAGCTATGTCGCGTCAGCGTCACAGGTGGAGGAGATAAGCAAAAATACCTCGAGCCTTTGCTAAGCGGTTCGTCATTTCATTTTCGAGCCCAAGTGCGTTAACATAGCTACAGAGATACTTGAATTTGTGGGCGACGTCTAGCTGATCACCACCAAGGGTCAGCGTAAGAGTGGGTCAATGCCAAACTTGGAAACAGACTTTGCATTTCGATGGTGTAAATCATAGCCCGGAACGACTGATACACACTAGTTATCCAGTGCAAGTTTTCATGTTTTGGAGCCCTCACAGATTACGGCAATGTCATCGGCGTAGTCAAAGTAAAGAAGTCAGTCACCAGGGAACAGATCCACATCTTAAAGATCGTTCTTCGTGAACGCCATTTCCATGACTTCGTCAAGGGCGAAATTAAGGAGGAAATTTAACGGTGGGCAAGCCTGTTTCACACCTCTGGAGATATTGAAGGGTGGCGAAAGTTTGCCGCAAATTCACACTCTGCCTGCACTATGAGAGTAAAGCGGTTCGATTATGATTATATGTTTTCCGGGCACACCTTTTCTCAGGAGACAATCCCGATCAACCGAATCGGAAGCCCCGTTTATGTTTATGAACACGAATACGGTAGGCTACTAATATACGTAGCGATGTTACAATACTTGGCGAGAGGCTAAAATGTAATCCATGCAACCTCTATTTCGAGGAAACCCGGCTTGCTCCTCGTGAATCTGGATTCCATGGGTGTTAGTCAGTCTACGGTAGTCCTCAGACGCAAGCAACTTAGAGGCAATTTAGATAAAATTGATTTCTCTGTGACTGCCGCAATTCGATGGTGAGTCATCCTTGCAAATTAGGACTACTGCGGATCAGCCCCAGACTGTTAGGATAGGCTCCTACTCGCAAAGCTTAAGGCTTAAAGATTAAAAAACGAAAATATGGATTGTGAAAAAACTAACAAGAGAGTTCCGTCTACCTCCTAGAACTGTAGCTGAATCTCTCTGTCAGCAGTCAGTGTTCGCAAGAAAGAGACGAGCAACCACTCAGCGTTATCATTAAGAGAGCCTGCACCTTATTGGCCGCCCAGATGAAAGTAATCAGTGGACAGTTTTCCAACTTAAGCCTTCAGATGGCTAGCCAGTATTACAGTGTCCGTGCTTTTTCTGTAACTAGGGGGCGCGTTCAACCGGTGATAGAAGTCGTCTTTCACTGAGTCAGCGTTACAATTTTTGGGTGCATATGCCGCAATGAAAAACCAGCACCACTTGTCCCCACTCAACTTGGATACTTTGGACGAGTCAATCAATCTGACAGCGCACATCCGGCTGTTCATTGGGATCCAATCGACCAGGGCAACTTCACCCAAGGAGGAAAGAGCAATGCCCACACCGGCTTGACCGGCATTCAAATGCGTCATCTCCGAACAAGCGCAATGAGAAAACACCGCCAGTGTCGCAGGGTAACCAGTGAACACGAGTCTCGCAGGTAGATTTCTGATCAGCAGCAGATATGAATTGATGTGGTCTCTAGTATTTGACCAAGTGCTGCCTGTTGACCAATCTGCAACAAAGTGCACAAACTGTGTCATGCCAAGCTTAGGGAAGATCGACGACTCCAAATAGAAACAACTGAATTCAGATTATCAGTTGGACTGGACGTAGACTTGTCAACTGGACTGGAGCGACACACTGCGATTGCGTGTGAGTTGTAACTAGATGACAAATATATATTGAAGCATCACAGAGGGCTAAGTAATGGGTGGTTGAAAACAGGGGAAAGTGAAGTTGAAGCGAGATGATAAGGGTGACAAAGCGCAAGAGGGGAATAAGAAGACGGGAAGGAAGTAGTAATCTGACCGCTATTCACGCCCTTGATGCAGCAGACAGGGCGCCGTTTATTGTTCTATATGACAGCCAGAGCATCAGGGAATTGTTTGAAGAGACATTCTTCGCATTGCGTTGGCAAGATACTGTCAGGCTGCCAGGCCTAGAAGGGAGAACGATCAGAGTTCTCAAGCAAATTCTTTGGTTCAAAAACCTAACAGCAACTCAGCGGTGTTTTGGCACCGGGTTACTGAGAGTCCATTTTATTAAGTAAAGTGTTCCTTCGCTCCAACCGCCGATCTGAAAGGCAGGTTGTGATTTTGTCTGACCTCTAAGCATTGATCAGTCTGATATGAGTGACTTTGAAGGCGCAAAATCACCACCCATCATGGCTCGATGGATCTCTGAGGCATGCAAACCATCGCACTACATTAAGGTCCAGTCTCGTGGCGATGGATTCCATAAATGTTATGGAGAGTGATAAATGAATGTGGAAGAAAGAGGATCAGGTGCAGTAAATTCGTAAAAGACTGATTGGAATAAAGCTCATATACTGCTAGAACGTAGGGTACACTTGTTGCGGGTAGTGTAATACCTCGGACTATCCATTGGTTACTGTTATGGAGGCAAATAATATGGCCTTCGCTAAATGCTTTCGAAACAAGTATTCGCAGATTTATTGTATCAGCAGAGCTATTTGTTCATATTTGGGAGACAGCGTCCAACAGTTTTAAAGGTGTCTACGGTGCAAGTTGACACTTTCGTTCGTCTTAGCTGGTCTGGAATGCGAACACTGAAGGAGTCAATGTAACTTGCTTCGTTCAGATTGAAAGACGGCTTAGGCACCGCACTATCACTAGTTATGGAGGTGGTAGTTGCTCTTTGCTCGTGTAACTGTAAAGATATGGTTTGGAAGAGATAAGAGAAAAAAACTAGTTAAACTGGTAAAATTGTTGTCCGACTACTTAGTCAGATGTTGGTTTTGTTCGGAGTTCGCAACCTTGAGTATTGAACTCAGAAAGTCGAAACATAAAGTAGCGGGCTATATTGACATATGTTTGCTTGGCTAACTCTGTAGCCACGGATTGTATAGTCTAAGTCGCAAGGCAACAGAGTGTGGGCTCAGCTCAGAAAATGAGACCGGCTACAGATAGACTCTAGTGTGAAGCTTAACCAAGGGACAACAAACCTGTGTGCATAAAAATAAACGAACAGCTTACGCATAATGTGAGATAATGAGTGATCTGCACTTGCTAGCCATCTGCATTAATAGACCATTAGAATCCCTTATTAGTAACGTTGCTATATCACCGATGCTCCTGCATGTTTGCAATCTCGTCCCTCAGACGACTGTCTGTTACCGGCATTAGGTCGAACCGTTACATTTCACAGTTTTCCGCTGTAGTGTTTCATCACTTACCTATGTGTACTGAAATAACTCTCACATTTTCAGCAACAAAGTGTTCCGGAGTGATGATCGAGCTTTGATTTGACAAAAGTTGTCATTTACGAGACGAATCTATGCTGCTCCTTCTTTGGATAATTTCAGAGCGGAGCGAATTATCTTAAACAACTCTGTCGTTTGGCTTCAACTACGATGAATGACCGTGTTAGTTTATTTGCCAAAACAATAGTTCATCAGCAAAATGTTTTTCAAGGCTCAATGCTGAGCACGTGTTCAGTTATTTATCCTTCTTCGTTATACATATTCCAACTGTCTCCTCCGCCAGCGAAGGCGAATGGTTCAGTTGAAACTTATTATCCTTGCGATGTTATTCCCACAAAGCAGTCTGTCATGATCAACCGTGCTACGTCCGGCAAGCGCTATGGAAAAATGCCCAGTAAAGTTATTACAAAATTTATCCAAACCATTCGTGCTATGCCTTAGTTTGGATTACACTATACCACGCTGTTCAATTTTCCCAACATATTCCACAGTCATTCACTTGCACCAATAATGTGGTCACAATGCGGCCAGGTGTAGACATGAAAATAGGATGTAACTAAAGGTTCAGCTGGAGTGTTACATGAAACTCGAACATAAATTCTGTGCTATGAGCTTGCAAACCAGTTGCATTCATTCAGCATAAGTGATAGCGTGCTTCACGGATGAACAAGTACTAGCTTAGGGTAACGGCATAATACAACATGTTAGTTCCTAGCTTTCTAAAGTCCCGGGAAGCATGTATCATGACTCAATGCACAAGTCCACCAAACCACCTGCATAACCTATTAGCAATTAAGTATAACTAAGCAGACCCGTACTAGCCGGTATGCTTCTTTAATGGGCTCCGCTGCACTGCCAAAGTTAATTACTTGCTTTGTGATCCGGATCGGATACCCGGGTACAATTAGCAAATGGCAATACTTGTATTGTGATACATAGACTAAATTCGTGGATAGTGTTAAGCAGAGCAAGTACAAAGTCGGAATAATCTACCGGTCCACCGAAGTACGAAATTCAATTCGTTACGGCTAAACCCAGAAAGATGGCCACCACACATCAGAGTGGATTCGGCGAATGCGCGCTAGCAACTAGTCCTAATAGGGCGAAACGGCCGTCCAGCACCTTCTTGGACGTGTGGTAGCTAACTGGCTGAGTTTAGCTACGAGGAATCCTCTCAAAAACGCAATAAAACACCCTACTGCTCCCTAATCAAAGGTTCCTGCCTTATAACGGCATGAGACATGAAAATGGCATCTCGTTTATAGATAGCATATTGCCTTTCAGAATCATCAAACTGTTCCAAGTTAAGCCGCCGATGCGATTAAAATATTAGTGACGCAATTGTCTCACCTTTTGGTCCACAGCATTTTGCCGACATGGATTGCATTCGGAATTACTATTGTTCATTCCTCCCAGGACTAACGGAGAACGCTCATCTGCAATCGTCAAGTCCGAGTCCAGAAATCCCGGTGACGCGTGACGCGAACTTGCTCCGTTTACATTTTCTATTGAATGTGGCTTCACGAGACTTGTTATTACTTGATCCAGTAAACCGCGGCGTAGTGCTAACACAAGACGAAGCACATTGTCCCCGTGTTCACCACACGCTACCTCCATGACTAATCGGGATAGGGAGAGTGCATAATATCACCGTAAGCTATATGTATATCCGGAGGCATTATATAACAACCATTTCATCTAGTAAGAAGTAGCGGGTTGCTCTCGGCCGGTTTCTGATGGACAAGCAAAAACCACAACTATCATAAATAAATAACTCCTGGATGAAATCTGGAAGTGGTTACATAGTGGGTGTACACGAATTTGATAGAATCAGCAACATAGGTAAAACTGTGGATGTAGTATCCCTCACACAAATAAGTGCAAATACGTAATTGTGCAAATCATCAGGAACAACGGGAATGTTCAAGCAGCGCATGAAGATTTAACAAATTTAACGGAGTTTAAGGAAAAAGAAATATCATTTTGTTGGTCAGCAGCCGCGGATTGGAAAACAGCGTGCATCAGTTTCGACGAAAAAGATGAAATGTGAGAATTTTACCAATGGTTTAAAACAGTTTGAAGAAGAAGACAACACAACAAATTTTGTCAGCAAAATGGATACCAAATATGTGAAAAAATGCAGGTTGCAACATTTAACGGTGAAGTTTGAATCTGAATGACACAATAAGAAGACGAGTATTTCAAGATGGCATCATTTCGTGCCCTATGTTAACTTGTAAACGGACAACATATCTAATGATAACGTGCTAAAATAGAAAATCATTAAGTTGAAAGCGTGAGGTCACATGAAAGCGAATTAAACGTTGACTACAGGATGAGGAGGAATTAGTAACTGCAAGGAAGTCCGAGCGTAACGAACAGTTGCCCCTGGACCTACAATGTTGGAGAATGCATTTTTATGGCCACTGCCTCGGCAAACTTGAGAACTCTAGGGTTTGTGTTACGATAGATGACACTAAACGCCGAGCTGGGGTCCAACTGATGACCCGATTCCATCATCATCATCATCACCATCATCATCATATGCTTCTTCTTCTTCATCAGCATCATCATCAGCATCATCATCATCATCCTCATCATCATCATCATCAACATCCTCATCATCATCAGTGTCAAGATCGTTATCATTATCCGCATCATTATCATCATCATCATACACGTTACCCGGAGGTGGGAAACACCTCAGCTGCTGTGCCGCAATACATAGTAAAAGGAAAAAACTATGCAACTGGTGCAAGCTGGCTGAGCTACCGGTAACGGAGGGGCATCGTTCCGATAAGCTACCAGCCGGCTACTGTGCAACAAAAAATTACTATGCAAAATTATATAAGGCTAAACAATGAGATCATGGTTTGAGGGGGAGGATAAGAAAGATGGGGTGGGACAAAGAAACTCACGGCACGAACGCCACTGAGGTCGGCACCTTGCCATATCAACAAGTGTATCCAGACAAACGTGCTCATCGTCTTTTGGACCCCAACCAGGGTGCCGAGACGCTCCAACCGAGGCCAGCTCCAAAGTGAGGGCATTCATTCATCTCGACCAAGTCATCGCTTGGCCACCCCTCCTCTTCTTCCATCCACACCCACGGCGCGCAAACAATGCACGTCGCGGGAGTCGGTGGGCTGGCATGCCTAACATGTTGCCGAGTCATCGGAGCCTGGTACGTGAAATAACGGTGCTGAGCGGTTCGATTCCTCTTGCTGTGCCGTAAACAAGGCTTCGAACACGCTGGTTACTCAAGCTGTGTTCCCACTAAATGTGAGCTAAATTGCGAAGGCACCGGTGGTGTCCGCTGATCTAAGGGGTCAGGTTTCACAACCGTACAGTAAAGTCGTACGTACCGTTGCATTGCACACTCTGCCCTTCAGAGCAAGAGTGATTTCGCGCCAGCGCCATAGGTGGCGAAGGTTAGCAAAAGCGCCTCGAGTTTTTGCTATACGGTTCGTGATCTCAGCTTCAATCCCAAGGGCGATGATACGAATTCCCAGGTGGTTGACGTTTTGAACGACTTCTAGCTCATCCCCAACAACGGTCAGCGTAGGAGGCGGTCCAGATCAATCTTGGAGGAAGGCTTTGCACTTCTATGGTGCAAAGCAAAGCTCGAAGCGGCTGACAGCCAGCGCTAATCTGTCCAGTGCCGCTTGGCACGTTTGTGAGCTGCCACAGATGAGGGCAATATCGTCTGCATACTCCAAGTCAAAAAGTCATTCTTCTGGGAGTAGATCCACATCTTCTAAGTCGTGTCCTGTGAGCGTGATTTCCATGACTTCGTCAATTGCGAAGTTAAAGAGGAAAGGTGACAGTGGGCATCCTTGTCTCACACTGCTGGAGATATTAAAGGGCGACGACAGCTTGTCGTAAGCCCTCACTATGCGCCACCTACGCGCATATAATGCTCGACTAATATGTACATATTTCTCAAGTGCACCTTTCTTGAGTAGACAGTTACAAAGGGCACATCCATCCAGGGAATCGAATGCACATTTGATATCAAAGGAACACGACAACGGTGGGCCGCCAATATATGTGACGATGCTCCAACAACTGACGCAAACTGAAGATGTGGTCCATGCAGCCACGACCTCGACGAAATCCGGCTTGGTCTTCACGATTATGGCTTTCACGAGTGCCAGTCAGTTTGTGAAGGATAACAGAAGCAAGCAATTTGGAGGCGAGGGAGATCAGATTGATTGCTCTATGGCTGCTGCATTTCGATCGTGAGCCCCCTTGAAAATTGGGACTATGACGGAGCGGCTCCAGTCGGTTGGGACAGTTTACTGCTCCCACACTTTCACTGGTAACTCGTATAAATCATCCACAAGAACAGGTCCCTCGAATTTGAAGAGGGCTAGATAAAGATTAACTGATCCCGCGACTTTATTTAAGTTCAACAGTCCGATCTCACGTTCGACTATTGAACAAGAGAGTGGATCCAAAGGGACAGCCCACGGTGCGGGGCGATCAGTGGCCGGCGAGAAATCTAACGATTCCGGCTTATTAATTTTTTTCTAGGTGCTGAGCCCAACGCTGCAAGAATTTTAATAAGTTGTGGATAGGCTGTCTACTCTCGTGCTGCCCGATTCCCGTATCATCCGGAATAACACGCCGGGTACCAATGGCAGCGGCCATTTTCATCTCTGATGCACGATGAGACGAGCAGGATTCGCCGTCTCTTCATGCTAGCCTGAAGTTTTGCCCAAAGTTCTTTGCGAGTTTCATTGTGTTCGCTTCCAGCCGGAATATTCTGACGATCATCGATAAGTTCCAGAGACTACGAAGAGACCCAATGTCCATGTTGACGATTAGACATACCACATGAGGATTTGCTTGCTGCTAGTAAGGTCTGGTGCATATGGGACCAGTGAGCTTCAAGTGCACCCAGTGACCGTTTATCCAAATCGCATGACAGAGTACTTTGATAGGCATTCAGAACAGCTGGCTTCGCAAGTTGGCTGGTGTCAATGCGCTCACAAGGTCGTCTTGGGCTTCCGCCAAAGCGCATCCGCAGGCCAGTATAGACAAGTGCATGATCGGTGTCCACACATGTGCTCCATATCGAGCGACAGTTCTGGACGCAGCTTCTCCATCGGTAACTTATCACAATGGGATCGATTTGCGTCCATAGCAGGTTCGAGGCTGGTGGTCACTAAGTCACCCTCCGGCGGGTGCTGTGTCGGAAATTAGTGCTCGCAAGAAATAATCGATCTTTCCCACACAAATGAAGTAACCGCTCACCGTCATCATTACGGGACCCTACACTATTTTGACCGCCCAGATGCAGTTCATCAGTGGGTAATTTTCCAACGTAGTTTGAGATCCATAACCAGCACTACAGTGTTCGAGCTTCTTCTTTGGCTAAGGAGTTCGTTCAGTTGACGATAGAAGTCGTCTTTTACCGAATCATTACTAGAGTTTGTTTGTGCATTAATCACACACGACTTCGAAGCTTTGAACGAGGCAGCCAATCGGACCGCACCCATCCGGTTACTGATTGGAATCCAATCAACCAGAGCAGCTTCAACCCGGGGACTCAGGGCAATACCAGCACTGGCTTGGCCGGTGCTCGAAGCTGCATCGTCACCGGACAGTCGCAATGAAAAAACGCTGCTAGTGTCACTTGAAGGGGATCGCAGAGTGAGCACAGAGCTCGAGTCTTGCAGGCGGGTCTCCGATAAGCAGCAGATATCGATCGAGATGGTCTTTAATGTTCAGGTTCGTTTCCATCAGGTGTTTTGCAATGGAAGAGGCACGTATGTTGTTCGTCGACACAGGTCCCGTTTGTGGCTGCCTTGTCAAGACAACGACGCGCTTCGAAATGTGCTCCCCAATCCGACTACACAAGCAACAGTCTGTTCTGCCGATGTAACTGCTTCCACAGTTTGAATTGACTGAACACAGTGAGGTTGCTGCTGCCGCGTATTTATCTTTTGTACCTTCGTCACTTTCAAGTAAATTCAAATGTTTTGTTACAATACTAAGTCCGAGGTTTCCGCTTATTGCCTGATTGTTTGAACATGGTGTGCTAGTAAAATGCCTGACGACCAGGCAGCACATAAGAAACATTCGTTGATTAACCAATTAATCTATTTAACCCCAACAATGTATACTATGAATAAATTTGCACCAAGTGGAGCATCTCAGAGACGGCTTGGATCGAATGAGTCATCAATAGGTGAACTTGGTTTCATCCCATTGCTCCTATAAACAATTTCAAGCAAGGCATATGAACGCTCATCTCATGTATTCCTAAATGTAGTATATTCCTTGCATGAAAACCGGATAATGAAGGTACAAAAAAATCAAAGAATGTAAGGTGCCTTCTTGCACGTAGATTGATGCACAACGAAGAAGGTCCTTTAGATCACCCGCTCACTGAAAATGCAAATATAAACTGACTAATAGCTCTGTAAGAAAGGATAATGAACTGTTTTGTTTACTGTGAAGAAAACGGTTACGATAAATGGGATAGTAAAATATCGGATTGAACACTACAATCACCTGGTGCACAACTCACAATAATCCGCTGGGTTATGATAGGATGGACACACTAGATCCTGTGAAGCGAGGTAAGGGATCAAGCAGTTAACCGGACCTCGGTAGATGCAGTGCCCTTCGGCCAGAAAATACAGCTACATGGCAATGTAAGGAAAGACGGAAAAGGGAGAAGTGAGAAAACATTTCAGACGATCAGTTAACATAACATGCGATTACATGTGACAATCCACTTCCCTAGGTAATTTCTATTCGCTCGTAAAATCTATGCACTGAGTCGGTACTTTGAAAATCGTGACCTCATTTTATACTTCACTGAGATCAATGAAGTCAAAGTGTATCAGTGCAAATTCGCCGACCGCAAATTACATCATGCAAACAAAGCGGTTAGTTGTCCATCAACCGAATTCAGTAGGTAACATGGCGCGCCTCCTCTAGTTGAGTTGGAATTAGAAATTCTATGTCCCCATGTGTCCATGAGATAATTGTCGACATAAACACCACTGTTTCATGTCATAGTGAGTCTTAAAGCAAGCCGCTACTGCTCCATCTCACTGCACCAGCCTAACAGACTTGTTATAGTGCGTCAAGCTATGTGCTGTTCGCGCCTCCGTGTTGTTCTCTAATCAGCTGTGTACCGATTGGGAACTACCAAGGTATTTCTGTCGCGTGCATAATCTAAAAGCATTGTTACCAAAATTCAACTTCCAGTTCAAAATGAAAGATGCTCATGGAGTTGGCATCATATTTCATGGTTGCGTACCAACATATTTCCGGGATGGTGACCTATTTCGAAATGTTTACCGCCATTTAGGAACAGGATAAGCTGGCACCGCTTGATCCACTTGGCTGCTTCCATATACGACGGTGTTCAAAAAGAAAACGAAATCTTGAAATAGCTAACCAACCGGCAGCAGTAGCGCGCCGTGGCTACCGCGTGGAAGCAGAGGCATGTTTTGGCAACAAACTGCCGTTTACCGCGTTTTGCTTCTAAGGAGCGGCAGCCACTGAATTGACCCCTTGAACAAGCTACCCCTCGGATTAGTGTCAAGGGCGCAATAATATGAGTTTGAAGAACATTGTGTGTGTTAGTGAGTGTGTGTATTTTGGATACCAACTTGGTAAAACATTTACAGAGATATTTCAGTTGATCAGCTAAACAAAAGAAAGGACTACATGAGTCTCACGTAGTGCGTGGAATAGTGTGAGCGTTTTGAAACGCGGTAGAATGTTGGTCGGTGATGACCCCAAGTTTGGACATGGGACGTCAACAGACGATGACCACACCGAGTGGGTTCGCGTATGACCCGTGGAAATCGTCGTCTAACTGTTCGAAAAGTCGCTGAGCAAGTGGGTATCAGCTAGGATCATACCATGCAATTTGGGTTTGACAAACTTGAGATGCGTCGTGTTAGGGCGGACTTGGTTGTTGCAACATGATAGTGCCCCGGCTCACGTATTGCTCATCATCCGCAGCTATCCAGCAAAACCTCGAACTACCTTTCTGCTCCATTCATCATATTATCTAGACCTAGCCTCAACAGACCTATTCCTGTTTCCTTCCCTCGGAATCACGCTGAGAGGAGGTCGTTGCCAAACCATAAATGAGATTAAGGACAATACGACAAAAGACCTGTCTGCCATCCAAACAAGTGCTTTCTAAGAGGCTTTCCAAAAGTGGAACACCCTTGGGAAAGATGCACTACCACTATCAGCACAGGGGACTAGTTTGCAGAGGATAGTGTTTAAAACGTTTTATAGTGAGAAATAAAGATGTTATAGCAAAAGTTCGCATTCTTTAGTGAACAGCGTTGTATTTTTGGTCTAACCCAAACATTCGACATAACGCGATCACGCTAGTCCTTGAGTCAGAACTGGAATTGACCTATGGAGGCCATGGATACCGAGTTGAAAGCCAAGGCAAAAACTTGCGATTTGCTGAAGCAAATCGTCATGGCACTAAGATGGATATATCGGATTGCTAACACGTATGTCAGTGAAATCTCGATGCTTAACTAACAAGCAGGTAACAAATCAGCATTCCAGAGTAAATTAAATATCCACAAAATTTAGTTAGTTAGGCTGGTAAATTTGAAGATCATATTTCTCATGTTGTATAATGTTCATACTATCGGGATGGAAAAGCAATAGAGGAGTGGAAATTGATGCTCACAAATTTTTGGTATACTTGTCGGTATAACAATATCTAAGAAACTGCCTTAAATCAATCATGCTCTTCGAGTTTACGCGCAAACTAACAGAGAGGTAGACGTAATCATAGTGTGAAGACAAGGTGTACAAATGAAGATAATAGCCCGAGCTTATGAATCATTTGGGTCAGATGCACATCGCCATAAGGACAAACGATTGGCAGCTAGTTTGCTGATATCGGGCTAAAACGATAACTTGCAAACCTCTCGAGATGTGTGTATCAGAGAAACTGGACCAGAACAACTGGCAATTCTCTGAATGCAAGGTCCACTGAGTTAACATCGGCTTTGGATGAAATTCACATTTGTTTACGTAGATGACTTGGTACCGATGAGTGTAGTATCGGAATTATAAAACTTGCAGTTCAAATAAATGTCGAATTCAAAACTGACGCGGGAGCAACGAACTACGTGTCGTAGTCGGATGGTGTCTGGTGCATCCTCAGCTAATCGCCTGTACGTTACATCGGCCGACCGCGCAGTGCATGCGTGCGTGTGTGTGTGCGCGTCAACGAGCGCAAAAATGCTTGTGTGTTTCATCCCTACACTGCGCCCATTGGCCCATGCTGTCTAGTCAAGATGTTGACTTGGAACTCGTAGCATACTGATGCTTGCTTACTTACAAATGTACTCGTCAGAATGACCCACCGGTCCCTGATCCTGTCCGCTTTCAGCCCATGCGAAAATCAGATGATCATGTTAGCTATTAATTCTCGGTATAAGTGGGTTGACGCCAACATTCTGGCCACAGAGACACCAAGAATTACAATAGTCAGACTGCGCACGACATTCGCTACCTTTGGACTCCCTGAAACACTACTGTCAGACAACGGAGCTACGTTTATTAATGCGCAGTTTTCCACCTACTTCGTCGCAGATGAGAGTAAGCACCTAGCTAGTGCTTTTTGTAAACCGTCTTCAAACGGTTTGGCTGGAAAGGCCATGTGGATAGTAAAAATATGCTGCTTAAACAAAAGAGTGCGCCACTACATGGGCGCCTTGATGGTGCGCTTTTCTCTTATCGGAATTTGGTGAACCATAACCCAAGAGGAAGTCCTGCGGAGCTAATGTTCGGCCGTCTGCGAACATGACAAGCTTTACTGAACCGTACTCAGATCTGAAGTCCTCTATAAACAAGAACCAGTGAAAAAAAAACTTCGGAACTCGCGGTATAGAAGGCTGGTAACAGAGTCAGAGCAAATCTACGTACGTTTGTCTACAGAACCCGGATGGCAGCCAGCTGTTGTGAAGGCAGCTAATAGACAGACCCTTGGGGGCAACGATTGAGGACCGTAAAATTGTGAGAGGTGACTTGGATCACGTGCGTCTAAGGCCGTCGAATTCCGAGTAAATATGGGAACCAAACCCACCAAACTCGTGTTCTGCGACGTGCGTGGGAGTGACACCGTACCGGAGGCTGAAGCTCGGTTGCCCAGGTCAATCCGCGACAGCCGAATGGTCGAGCGCTTTCAGCCTGGATACTTGGTTCCACAGGGGAAGGAATGACGCATCCTCTGCTTGTCGCCTATGCGTTACCTCGGTCGACCGCGCAGGGCAAGCGTACGTGTGTGCATGTGCACCAATACATGTGTGCGCAAAAACACCTGTGTATGATATATAGTGAAGTCTCCAAAGCTGACCATCTCTGTTGACAGTCTTATTTTCGTTGATCGAACGTTCCGCATATTGGCCAGTTTGATCCCGTCCCTTGAGTGGATAAATTACGGAGGATTTTCTGTACTTCGATTGCTGTGTACTTGTTTCGGAGTGCACTTAGCGTAACGATATTCCTCTGCTTCCAGACAAAAATATAAAACCTCATACTCAGAAAAGTAATTTCAATGATTCACATTTAGTTTCATCAGGTTACTTAGGTCGTGCACAGCTATAATAGTTTGGAGCAGCAATAGTGCCAGGAAAAAAGCGCGCAGCATTCAACTCATTTTGCTACTGTCAAGCAAGTTAATCATATGTTCGGTAGTTTTATCGATAAGACGTTAATAGGCGTCGATGCACGGTATTGCAACTGTAAACAGTCATGTGCTCACAATAACTATAGCGTCAATAGGTTCGTATGTCGGTAGCCCAAACATTTCGCAAAAAATTAATTGGGATGCCGTAGTGATCAAATTTCTCATGTGCAGAGTTTTATAATAATCAAGTAAACTTTGCACTGTGACCGCCCAAATATTTGCTTGTAATCAAGTCTGTAAATTTTGTTTAACCTTAGCACTGCACGAACACACAGATCACTTGCAGGTACGTACATACAAGGATCTTGTTAAACTGAAACAACTGCGAGCAAGCGCGCAAACTCCAAATGGATTTGGTTTTGCTTAAACGTACTGTTATCTGAGCTTTGTCAATTTTGTTGCAAACGTTCCGTCACCAATCAAGGTGACGTCATCAGTGCGCAGAGTAGCGATGCGAAGTGTGAACCGGTAGTCACGTGGATACGTTTTCATAGGTCGTCATCGGTCGTTTGGGCATGTGACTTTTGAAAATGGCCTGCCTATTGGATCCATTCCTCGTAACCATGACCCGTTTGCTCCGCAGCTGAGAATGCTGTCTGAGCTGTTTGTATGGTGTTCATTTCCATGGAGGTCACTGGACTGCGATGGTGGTCTTTTGAGCGTAGATTTGTATAGATGACCTCCAACGTGTGGATTGATTGAATTCTTCGTGGTGCCATAATTCTAAGCATTCTCTTGTCTGCTACATATTCCCATATGCTAGAATCCGTTTTCTATGTCAAAACAAGGACGTTTCCATCGCGTATCGAAACCATGGTCTTGAGGCGTGGGTCGAGGCCATTTTCAAAGGTCAGTGCCCAAACGATAGATGGCGACGACCTATAAAAACGCACGCGCGTGACTACCCGGTGTACACTTAAGCATCGCTACGCACTGATGACGTCACTTGGACTAGTGACGAAACGTTTAGAACGAAATTACCAAGCTCATTGAACAGTTCGTCTAACCCCTTGAGCTACCCATATTTACTACTGCATTAGAATTTGATTTATATGCTAGTGGCTGCAGTCCTGTGCTTTGGACCGCCTGAATATCCCCATTACGCAAGTACATGCTCAGTGATCTTGTGCAATCAGGTGATCAGCTCATGGAGAGCTGGGTCTTCAAACCGACCGTCGACCTGCTTGTAAACAATATGCAATGCAGTTTTTTATTAGTTTCTCATCCTTGTTCTGCTCAGAAAATGTGGCTTTGGCTTTGATTCGGCGCTAAAGGTGTGATACAACGGCGGGATATATTAAAATAAAAATTCGCAACTTGATAACTGTGGTGCACCTCTGATGCATGAAAACGTGCCATTCGAGACCGCAAAACACCGTTCCAGTATAACGTTGTTGGCGTGCGAGCTAATCTCAGATGAAACCAAGCATATGACTTTTGCCGTGCCACAGAATTTCATCGAGTTGGTGTTTTTCACTGGCGTTGATGGATTCACTTTCTGAATTCGTTGGAGTCACTCGCTATTGTTAAAATTCATGTTTTTCTGTATTGCGGCAACCACTATCGACGCACACTGACCAGCTGGACAGTAATGGATTCCAACATTATTTTTGCTTCAGTAACTGACTTGATAGGACCTTTTGAGGAAGCCTAGGCATAACTAGCCGACTGCTTGCCACTATATTAGGTGAAACGTAGTTTTAGCTGAGTGTTGTTAGTAGTCTTGCCAGTGGAACATAAGCCATGAGTGAAAAGTAAAAAGTTTCTCCGTTAATGATAAAATTTTGAAAGGCCTTTTACAGTGGCATCTAGTAGCCATATAATAGATCTGTTTGCCTTCCTGATACAACGATAAATGAACTATATTTATTTCAGAGAGAATAGTGTATTAATCCTAGACTTATGCGACTGGTAGGAACCGCAGTGTATCGTGTTAAATACGACATATATTAAACAGCCAGGGAACAAAAACTAAAAGCAGCACATTATACGTTGTGAAAACATTTATGCGTAAAAGGTGAGTGTACTCAACCCATAACCCACTTCTGGTGGCTGTACCGCGTATGCAGCGCTAATCGGATCGTAACATAATCTGATGATAGTAACAGTGTGTGTGGCGCCAATTCTTCTTAAAGGTAAAGGGCTCAGAGAGATACACAAGCAAAATCTTAATCCATCTTCATTCGATCTAAAGTCGTAGTTGCATGTATCAATCGGCTCCGTGCATTAGAGGAGAGAATCCGTATTCAAACGCATTAAAGTATCCTCCAATGCGGAATTATCATGGCAACAACCTAAAATTAGCAGCCGAATCTGATGACTGGCACGAGAATGAATATAACCTACCAAGTCTCTGGTGTATCGAGTTGTTACATTAACCGTGTTACCCGCGAACCATGAGATTGCCAGGTTTCAGGGATTACGACGAACATGGAATCGATAATGTCGAAGGATTTAGCACACACGCATTGCAAACTGTTGTGTGCTCTGTTTACCTCCGATTAGTTTAGCAGCTGTATGTTCATTTGCATGCATAAACTGCCATTCAGCATAAAAGTGGCCAAACAGAGGCGTCTCAGTGAGGCTGGAAGTAGAAGAATTGAAAGAACTTGGTGCGATAAACATGAGCATTGAAATTAGAGTGGACGAAACCGAAAAGCAAATCTAGTCCAATGAAGAACTCCCCAGGAGCTTCTTCATTGCAAGCAATAGTAAGTACAACCGGTAGCAGATTCAGTATCCTTGGAGGGGATGTAGTTTCAGTGCGGACCAAATTACAACTAGCAATCTGCATGCTTGGAAAGAGCATGGAGGATCTCAGTTACTGGCTGGGCAGAAAAGCTGCAAAGCAACTAATGATCCACTATGTGTAGTGTGGAACTGCTGCAGAAAGAAGGTGCTCAACAACTTTGGAAACTGCAAGTGGGATTACTTGCTTTTATCATAAACAGTTCTTCACTAAGCCAAATTAATCTTACTGAAGCAGTTGACTCGTTGATATCATTAACAGCACCCAGCATGCGCTTGCGAACAAGTGTATGCCAAGAAAAACAGCGGTCGGTTAACGAAGGGATGAGAAATGTGCTTTGTAGCCCAAAGGTCATGCATTCGAGTATGTGCAAATGCGGACCACCCTGCGGAATCCATAGTCCGTGCGCGACTGCTGGCAGCGGAGCGCCGGTGCGCCACACCGGCGTACTGATGATGCGTCATATGCAAGGCCCGATGTGTTATGATTGGCCCCGTGAGATAGTAGAGGCGGGATAAGTTGTAGATATGAGTTGTCAATGCAAAAGCAATGAAAGTGTTCTATCGTCCCATATTAGAGTACTTTATTGAACCTAGCCACGCAACTGTTCCAATGATCAAAACATATTTGGTTAAACCACGATTTGTGATGTTCTGCTCGAAGGTTACTTTTGTGTTGCGGTAACGAAATGGCCTCAGCACCACTGTAGCCCTACAACGCAATGTTGCTCACATAACTCATCGTATTTGCTGAGGAATTTAAGTAAGGAGGAACTCTGAACTGGGGAGAACCATCGCGATAAAGCAACATCAAATGAGTTTAATTTGTGCATGTTGCATCACTGAAATAGTAAGCCAATACGAAAATTCAGACCACAACCCCTCACAAATCGACTGAGTTCAATACGAAAACAGTGGTGTTAAACAGAAATAAAATCCGGTACGAATACATGGCTGTAATGAGTGCCGATAAAAAGAATATATAGGGCGAGCGCTTACGGTACGATAGACAAATAAACTTGCCTATGATAATCGATAAAAGCGATGTTGTGCACTGTGGCCTTGATAGCATGCCCTTGACTCAACTGCACCACCTATACTCAGTGTAATTTTTCACCTTAAGCACTGCCCTCCATGGGAATATTCGCTATAATCCGGACTGAAAGGTAGCACTAGACAACACTTATAACCTAATAGTTATAACGGAGAAATGACTTGCCGAACTACTTCCTCGTGGTGCCAGCTGGGTGGTTCGGGTGTACGCCGGCCCAGCGAAGTGTTGGGCGACAATGTTCCACCTTTGTGGGGCATTGTATTCCAGCAATTGTGCTAATTTCATGGGGAGTATTGGGTCTCTGTTTGATGATCTACCAAACGAAGATGCATGAACTGAACATTAGCTCAGCGCCTCCAAATGGGCGCCATTCCCTAAATTCGCCCTGCTACAAACTTGACTACTCACAAACATCCAAAATTCATCTACCATCGCCCATTGGACATCCGAAGGACAGGTACTTCGCCCTGTTGGGATGTGACGGGTGAGTGAGCCAATCTGCAACACCAGGAGAGGTACTGTGAGCTTATTGGCAATACGTCGCGCACCAAGCACAAGTCATATATTCGAATTTGCGCACCTAATCGTCATCCCTCGGTAGCTCTGGTAAAGCAGCGGACCGGAAATTCGTGGACCGGGGTTCGATTCCCCGTCGAGGCACATTATTGTAAGTGAATTTTAATCATGAATTCTACTTTCTACAAACTTTACACTACTCACAAACATCCAAAATACTTAGGCAAAGGCTCGGGGTGGAGTCCCCTAAGACAACTCCCAACTTCGGCTTGGGCAACCGGGTAGTATCACGCTCTCTCACAAAACCATGGATTGTACTACAACGTGCTCAACAGCTACTGTTTCTACTTCTAACCTTCAAGCGACTTAATCACACGCCAGTTGTTTGCTAACAATCCTTACTTTCCGTTACCCGATTCATCCATTCAACAATCTGGCTGCGATTCCGGTTGCGCCGCGGACCATGCAGTTCAACCTAAGGCTCTCCTTCGTCCCCGATCCTTGTTCCGTCTGGCGTGCTTCAACGTTCGGATACTCATGCAGATTGGGCAGCAAGCCGGTCTAGCGCGCACCCTAGCGTCCCTAGACATTGATATCTGCTAACTTTCAGAAACCCGGTTGCAAGGTCCCAGCACTGTGATTACGTTGATATCACCCACTGACCACAAAGCCAGATATCACATGCATCTTTCTGGAGAGTCAGAAGCAGCCTCAGCGGGTTTGGCTGGTGTAGGTATAGCACTAAGTGGCAAGACCGAGGTGGCACTACTGGACTGGTTCCCGATTAACAGCCGATTATGTGCAGTTCGGCTAGAAGTGCTTTGCTAGTCTTCGCCACCTATGGCGTCGGTGCGACATCACTCTCGCCCTGAAGGGTAGAGTGCATAATGCAGCGGTAAGTTCGACCCTACTGTACGATGGTGAAACCTGACCCCTTAGATCAACGGACACTAAGAGGCTAGTTCCGTTCGACCACCGGTGCCTTCGCAAGTTAGCTCACATCTAGTGGGAACACCGCGTGAGCAACGAGCGTGTTCAACGCTTTGCTTTCGGCACAGCAAAAGGAATCGAACCGCTCAGCATCGTTATTTCACGCACCATGCGCCGATGGCTCGGCCACGTGTTAGTCATGACAGCCCACCGACTCCCGCGACGTGCGTTGTTTGCGCGCCGGGGTTGTGGATGGTAGAAGAGGAGGGGTGGCCAAGCGATGACTTGGTCGAGAGGAATGAAGGCCCTCACTTCGGAGCTGGCCTAGGTTGGAGCGTCTCGGTTCCCTGATTGGGGTCCAAAAGACGACGAACACGTTTGGCTAGATACATATGCTGACATGGCAAGGAGCCGACCTCAGTGGCGTTCCTGCTGTGAGTTTCTTCGTCCGTCCCCATACCTTTGAGCCTCCCCTCCAACCACGACCTCATTTCGTGGCATAATATAACTTTACATATTAATTTTTCTTGTTGCCTAGTAGCCCGCTGGAGACTTACCGGAACGATGCCCATCCGTTGCGGTTAGCTCGGATGGTATGCAACTGTTGTATCTAATTTCCTTTTCTTTTATGTATTGCGGAACAGTAGCTGAGGTGTTTCCCACCGCTAGGTAACGTATATGATGACGATGATGATGGGGTTCACGTAGAATTAACAAGCACCGCGAAGAGTGGCGCAACTTGTTTGTGACATCCGTGTACGCTCCAAATGACTGCAGTGGCGACTCGGTCGAGGACGAATTCTACCGGGATCTACGTCAGCCCTTGACTAACGTTAAAAAGTCGGATGTCGTTGTCCTTGCTGAAGATTTTAATGTAGGGTTGGCCGCCTGTTACCATACGAACGCCACCTTGGTGGTCATCACGCGCTCGAAGAGAACCGCTTTGATACCGGAGAGAGGCTTCTCACATTGTGCGAAGACAAGCATCTGTTTCTCTCGAGCACTAACTTCAGGCGTACGAAGAAGCGTTCCGCAACGTGGCGTCCCCTTCGCCAACACAATCCTGGTCTCAAATTGATCACATTGCAATTAGCTTCAGATGGCGCGGCAGCGTACTGGACTTCAGGTCATTTTGGTCTACCTTCGTTGACTCTGAGCATGCACTGGTCTGCGAGAAAATCTGTATGTGTTTTGTGGGGTTCCGAAACACGAAGCACCGCAAGAGTGATGTAAAAAAATTAACTGGGTCCTCTGTCCAGGCGAGCTATCAGTCTTCACTGGCATATGCACTCAGTTGCAATCCACCTCAAGAATTGGAGCAACATTGGACTTGTATATGGAAAGTGATGACCATTTCCGGACAGTCAAGCTGCGGCTTAACTCGACGCCCCCTAAAGGCGGAATCAGATTGCAACGAGAGGCGCCGCTCTTCCAACCGGCTGCTCAAGCAAAGCTTACGTAAGGATCGCGAGGCATTGTAGTCTGAACGGGCTTTAGAGATGGATACCGCTGTCCTCTCTGGCAACACTCGCAAGCTTTTCCAACTCATTCGGTCCATTGGCCTCAGGAAGCCTGGCGTCACTGAGGTCATCTGCAATGTGGATGAATCTCAGATCACCAACCAACAGTGGCGTATGGACCGCTGGGCCGAGCACTTTCACTCACAGTTCAACTGACCTCCACCATCCATCAGTGTGTGCAGCACACTTTGTTGTCCCCTCTGGTTCGTCCTACTGAATCCACCCGGCGAAGCGGAAGTCTGCTTCGAGATTCCACGCTTGAGGCGGTTCAAGGCTGTCGACTAGACGAACTTCCTCCGGAACTGTTCAAGTACTGCGGTGTGGCAATCATTAACCAGCTGACGCCGCTGTTCGCAAAAAGCTGGCATGAAGAGAAAGTGCCTTACTCTAGGGGCGAATTAGTTATTGTCCCGATTCTCAAGAAAGGTGCTTGCACTTCATGCGTAAATAATCACGGGTCTTATTTCCGTTGCCTCTAAGCTATTGGCATCCATTCTGCTTCTTAGACTATCCCCAGTAGGTGAATCATACTACCGTGAAGAACAAGCTAGTTTCCATCCCGGCCGCGGATGCGTGGATCAAATCTTCACACTCTGCTAGCTCCTCGAACATTGCCACATTTACCACAGACCCACTATCGTGCCGCTTTTGACTCCGTTGATCGACCTGCTTTATGGCGTTGCTTGCTAAAGTACGGGATGCCAGAGAAATATATGGTCATTGTACGAGTACTTTATCTTCATACATCCGGCAGAGTGAGGGTCTATGGCAAGCTTTCTTCGCAATTCGCTGTCAATACAGGTGTGAGAG